TACATTGTTCCTAAGCTTTAAGGAAACATGCCGTAAGTAGGGAATAGCCTTAACATACATTTCCAATGAACACTCGAAAGACCGTAGTTCCTTCACAAAAGTTGTTCCTTATATCCTAAGCTTCGTAAACACTATATATACACAGCTGGTACGCACCAATAAACATTTCATAATTAATCTTAAATCGGCAGATTTGCCATATTGCCCCAACTTGTCAAAACGTCTGTAGAAATTCATAAAAACAACCATAAAAGGGTTCCGAGATGATTACCATAGTTAACCAAGTGTAAATCTTGAAGAAACACCAATAACTACAAATTTATATCTTCAAAAACCAGCTCCAAACGCAACTAATAGAAGGAGAAAATGATTGCCACATGTAGGGACTACGTTTCTAGGCGCGGGGGAAATGTTTAATGGTAGAAATCGTCAAAAACTAACCTTCATCATGCTAGAACTCCATAGGAACCCTCTCTTAAGCTTTCTCTCTGGTTTGGAACTGAAATGAAATATTTTCATGGCTTAAAACGTTAAATAAGCCGACATACCATATTTTGACCCGACCCGGATTCTGCCCCGACAGTCCCTAGTAAAACCCTATAATTGTTTACTCTAATGTCGGTTTGATACGGGGTTTTGTGCGTTGCAAACTAGACTCGTAGGCCTTCGATTTAATGGGTTATAGGCCTTCTAACTCTTTATATATTGGGAGAAAGCATCCAATACATTTGACCCAAATTTTAGAGAAATCTTTAAAAAGGAACTTACGATAACTTTCGCCAACTTTTATTTTGCCACTTACTTAACTTCAAAACTTGAGATACAACCCTTGAACACATAAAATATGACATACCACATCATTTTTAATTTATTACTCACCCTCCTTGTCTTTTCACGAAGATACGAGTTAATTTAGACATTTTGAAAAGTTGGGGTGTTACAGTTTTATTCAAGTTGTACTAGATGGTTTGAGGCAAAGTTTTTAGAAAAGACTTCCACTTGCTTTTATTAAAAGACTTCGATTGTATGGATAAAAGTCTTTAAATTTTCCGTACTTTTCTATTATTTTATGTTATGATATGCTAAGGGCTTGTATGAGACCCCTTCGGGGTCAAGTACGCCATATTACATCTAGGATGTACCCCTGGGTCGTGACATGAAATAATTAAATAGGTCTGTCAGTTGATGTCCAACAACTGTCTGTAGTTGTCCGGCGATAATAGAAGTTGTCCCAACAACTAGTGCAATTGCTCGACAACTATGTTTTGTTGTAGGTCAACTGATTAATTGTTAAGAAAAATAATATGATTATGGATAAAATATTAATTATTTAAATAAATAGTTGAAGAATTATAAAAATCCCTAAAACTACTAAAACTTTATGACTATTGTTGATAGTTATGAAACAATGAAATATGTGTAAAAATAAGTAATCAATATTCTTTAGCAATTTCAAAGTTGTTTTATGAATGTCTCACTAGTTAAAATATTTTGTGATGTCTTCGGGTATTGTGTCCATCTATGGAAGATCAAATAATAATTGGAGTTGATTTACATGGTGAATGGGTAGAGAATCCTACTCGTTATACTTAGAGATCAAAGGATCGAGAAACTATATCAATAAAGATAAGCGAAAATGTTTCGTATAATGAGTTGGTTGAGATCATTATTTCTAGGTTTGAGTTAAATTGTGATAAAGATAATCTCTCTATTACTTACATGTTTGGTTTCATTGAAAAGAAAAAAGGAGCTCCTTCTAGAATCAGGGATGATCGTGATTTACGATTTTTTTTGGATGATCAAAGTAGGCCCATTTTAAGGATATCTGTTTTTGAAACAATTATTATAGTTGTTGGAACAAATTTCATAGTTGTTTCAGCAACTGTAGTAGTTGTAGGACATTAAAATAGTTGTTCCAAATTTGCAACCATTATTTAAAATCAACAATCCTTTATATTTTAATTTTTTGATATTTTTCAATTTTTATACTTCAGGTATAATGTATTGACTTCAAATATTATGGAGTCTGTTAATGCAATATTCAATGCCTGTTGAATGATATAAGTAAGAGATGGTCTGAAATTTTTTATGAAAGACGGATGGCATATGCCAAGTTAAAAATCACTTTTGTCCCTTTAGCTAAAATCAAAATAATGGCTAACAAGAAACTGAAAAATAAGTTATTGGTTCATCAAATTGATGAAGATACCTTCAGCGTCACCGCGGACAATGGGATCGCAATCCATCATCGAACCAAAATGTGTTCGTGTCGAGAGTTTGACTTGGAAAAAATACCCTGTCAACACGCTATGATAGTTGTCTAACAACTTTGCATAGTTGTCTAAAAATAATTGAACATCGATCTAGTCATTTTGTGAATTATTAAATATAAACTATGTCATTTAATTATAATTGAAGATCTATCGAGTCAGTTTGTAAATTCTTAAATATAGAGTAAGTCGTTTAATGATATTGAAGATTGATCTAATCTGTTTGTAAATTCTCAAGTATTTAATAATAATTGAAGATTGATCTAGTCAGTTTGTAAATTCTTAAGTATAAACAAAGTCGTTTAATAATAATTGAAGATAGATCTAGTCAGTTTGTAAATTATTAAGTATAAACTAAGTGGTTTAATACTAATTGAAGATCAATCTAGTCATTTTGTGAATTATTAAGTATAAACTAAGTCATTTAATAATAATTGAAGATCGATCTAGTTATTTTTTGTGAATTATTAAGTATAAACTACGTCGTTTAATAATAATTGAAGATTAATCTAGTTAATTTGTAAATTATTAAGTATAAAGTAAGTCGTTTAATATTAATTGAAGATCGATCTAGTCATTTTATGAATTATTATGTATAAACTAAGTCGTTTAATAATAATTGAAGATCAGTCTAGTCAGTTTGTAAATTATTTAGTATAAAGTACGTCGTTTAATAATATTTGAAGATCAATCGAATCATTTTGTAAATTATTAAGCATAAATTAAGTCATTTAATAATAATTGAAGATCAATCTAGTCACTTTGTAAATTATTAAGTATAAACTAAGTCGTTTAATAATAATTGAAGATTGATCTAGTCAATTTGTAAATTATTAAGTATAAAGTAAGTCGTCGAATAATAATTGAAGATCAATCTAGACATTTTATGAATTATCATGTATAAACTAAGTTGTTTAATAATAATAATTGAATATCGATCTAGTCAGTTCTTAAATTATTAAATATAAACTAAGTAATTAATAACAACTAAAGCAATTGCAGGAACAACAAAACTAATTGTAGAAATAACTGAAGCAGTTGTACATACAACTAAATAGTTGCACGGAATAACTGAAGGAGTTGTACAGACGACTAAACAGTTGCACGAACAACTGAAGCAGTTGTATAGACGACTAAAAAGTTGCACGAACAATTGAAGCGGTTGTCCAAACAACTTCACAGTTGTACGAACAACTTAATAGTTGTAGAGACATCTGAAGTACTGAAGCAGTAACATGGACAATTAAAGCAGTTGTAGAGACAATTAAAGTAGTTGATAACAAATACACAAAAACAGAAATAATTACCTAAAACTAACACAGATAATAGTTGATAACAAATACACAAAATACTGATCCAAATGTTTTGTAAATCAAGTACAAAAACCACCTTAATACACAACTACTCTCTCAAGGAGTTAATTCCTTCTCAAGCACCGCAACAACATATTTCATCCTAAAATTATCCATCTCATTGTCGTTAATCATTCTTGGAATTGTTTTTCAGGTGAAGAATCCTTGACAAATTGTTGAATTGACGAATAGCTTCAAAAGCCCAAGCCTACAATATAATATTAAAAATAGCTAAGTATACATAATAAATTCAAATAATAATTTAACTAAAAATCATAAAATGAAAACACCAATTTAATTACTTACGGCGAATGCCAACAGAAAGCCATGAAGATTATACTAAGATTTGGTTGAATCTAGCTCTTTCAAAAGATAGCTAACGATAAGATCAAAGCTTACTCGAACCCATGAATATGAATCAAACACACATTTTTTCGATGCTTGACCTCATCATCTTTTTTCTCTTCGCTTGAATTTTTGTTGCTATTCTCATCACTTTTTTCTTCACCTGATAAGTCACTGCTTCTCTTACTATTTTTTTTTCCATCTCACTAGATTGCTTGCCGCTATTTTCACAACTTTTTTCTTCTCTAGATGGTTGTCCACTGATACTTTGAAGTGTTGCAGTACCTCTTTTTCTAGCAACAATTAAGCTCTCAACATTTTCTCTAGAATCTAGATTGGATGAAGATGTTCTAATTCTCTTCTTCTTATATTGACACATTATAGTATAAAATTAATTAAATATGATCAGTAGAAAAATAGTAATTATAATACATTAAACACTAATAATTATATTATTTGTTCTACAACTACAAAAGTTGTTAGCTGAAACAACTAAATTGGATTCACTAAATTCATTTAACACAAAATAATTTTGTACTTGCCAAAAGGCTCTTTTGAGTTAATTTCAAGTTCAAACGGAATAAATACAATGCAAAAAAACAAAAAAATATAATAGACATATAATAATGATTTTCTTCTTTATGAAACCCTAGTTTTAATCTTGAAATAGAAAAGAGAAGAATATTTACCTTGTATGAGGAAGAAACACAATACAAAAGGTTTGATGATTATGAAGTTGAAGAGGAAGCTAAAAATTTGAAAAAAATGTGCTCTCTTTTGTTTGGAAGTTTGCCTTCGTCCCGTGTTCCTCTGCAAAGAAAAACATCAGAAACTAATGGAAATATGTTAATCCCTATTATCACAATTTTAAAAATGTTATATTTGACCTGAAAGTTTATAAAATTATTACTTTAGTCCCATGTATTAATATTAAAAATAAAAAAGTAAAAAAAAGAAAAAAGGGGCCCACTTATCCTTTTTTTAATTGAAAACTTGCATGACATTTTTAGCTCATTTACAGGTTCACGAGAGACATCAGCTAAGCGGCATCATTCACAGAAGCAGACGGAGTCAACAACAATGTTCCTAAACGATGCTCAACGTCAACAATACAGAAGCACGCACCGTCAATTCATAGCGGTAAACGACAAAAATACGTGAAGAACGATCCAGTACATCCTGCCCTTGTCGTCTTCTCCCTTTGCCTTGCCTCAACGGTACGAACAGTGCTAGGTGGGACAATCTCAACGTTTCACTCGTCCTAGCGTCAAGATCGAACGGCCATCATTGGCGAGCCGTTTGAAACTATTGAAGAATTGGGTATAATCTTATCCTTGTACAATAATTCAAATTGGGAATTTCTATTTTTCCCTAATTCTTATCTGTTGGAGGACAAAGGTTAAGAAAACAGAAAAAAAGGGATGCAAAAAATTACAGTGAATACACAACTCACTCTTGGGGTAAATGAATACTTGACATATAAATATACAAGTCGTTTCTTCTCTTGTTCGAATCTTTGACACCCCTGCTTTGTTCGTTCGGATTCTCAGAGTTTCTTGTGTGGTGGTGGAATCGCTTCGTCCTTGATTAAAGGTAACGTCCTTATCTTATTCCTCGTTTTCCATTTGAATAATGTGTGTTTGTCCTGTTTTCTGCTTAACTGGGCATCATTTTGGGGTTGCTTTGTTGTTAGATTATTACACTTTCTTGATATAGTATTGACTGTAAATTGAATAATAGCAAGATACTCTTATTTCTGTTGATTTTCTCTTTAACTACTGTTAGTTGATTTTCTTTGTTAGCATGGCTATTTCCTTGATGACGTTTGTATCGATTTTGGTTTTAACCTTAGCTCTAAATGGTTGCTCATCGTTATCTTTTCATCGATTTTCTGTCAAGCTCGTTGTGACCTCTTATTTAGCTGTTTACGGCTCTAAATGATTTGATTAATATATAATAATTTTGTGTTTGTTGAAATTTCGATATTGAATAGTAATGCTAATCTTTCAAGTAATTTAGTTTGCTCTTGAACTTATGTTTGTATGAATATGGGATTTCTTTACAAGTATGAGAATGTTGTGATTAATTTCTTTCTAGGTAATTGTGTGATTTATGATTTTTTTTAGCCTAGCCTAAATCTAGCCTCATGGAGTTGACTCGTATCTCGTTTCTTTGTCATCAATAGGATCAACTAGTGTTGGTACTTATGCTTAACAAACACATTATCACCTACTTTAATGTTAAGTGTCAACACTAGATGGACTTATGCTTAACAAATAAATTATCACCTAATTTAATGTTAAGTGTCAACACTAGATGGACACAAATCAATCTTGCAAGAAAATCAATTTTGTCATCAATAGGATCAACTAGTGCTGGTACTTAAGCTTAACAAACACATTATCACCTTAATTTAAAGCTAAGTGTCAACACTAGATGACCACAAATCGATCTTGCAAGAAATCAATTTTGTCATCAATAGTCAACTAGTGTTGGTACTTATGCTTAATAAACACATTATCACCTAATTTAAAGCTACGTGTCAGCACTAAATGAACACAAATCGATCTTGCAAGAAAATTAATTTTGTCATCAATAGGATCAACTAGTGTTGGTACTTATGTTAAACAAACACATTATCACCCAATTTAAAGCTAAGTGTCAACACTCGATGGACACAAACAAATTATCACAAAATTAAATCTAAGTATCAATACTAGATGGACACAAACACATTATAAAAAACATTTATACTTGAACTTTAGAAATTTAAAAACACCAAACCTTATCTCCTACTTTGATGAAAATAGCAGTATAGTCTTGTAACAACTTATTTAGATGTTGAGCTTCCTCAATAGCCTAGCACGAAAAGAAACAATTTAAAATTTCTTCAGTGGTCATTATAGAGAGATTTCAGTCATTATAACATTCAAGAATGACTCAGACAATTTTAGGATCAGTAAGTACCTAAAATTGATCATACATAATTAATGGTTCTATACTATGTTTTTGCAAATTCTCCATTATTTTGGAAAAAAATATATAGTATTTTTCTATTTTTAAATCTTTGTGTAGTTATACTTGCTAAAGTTGATAATCCTAGTTCACTTAAACCTCAAAAGAAATGGTCTCTTCACTAAAAAAAATATCAATATTTTGTTTCTGTTGAGTTCAGTTTATCAAATATACTTTAGTTGGATTTTGTAGTTATTATCATTTAAGTTAACAAAGTTAAGTCTTTGTCATTTACTTTATAATTCTCCTTTTTGTGAATTACTGTAGATTATTGGAGCATCATTATTTGGCCTTCTTCTCTCTAAATATGACCCGGTGGTATGCTTAAAAAATTGATGTTAGTCCTATTGTGGTAAATCTTACTCCTAGTTCTGTTTCATTCTGTGATTTGAAGTTTAAAGCACTGCATAGCACTAGGTATCTCTGACATGGCTAACCAACAAGCTTTCCTCTGGGCTCTTGATCGTACTGTGGAAACTTGTTTTAGTTATTCCTTCCCGTCTTCACTAAAATCAGAAAATATAACTGCAAATTTCCAACACTAACTTCAAATTTCCTCTTCCATTTGTTAAACTCTAACTAGTTATCGAACCCATAGGACAAAGATATGTGTTAAATAAGCAGTAAAAATGAATTTTCAAAAATTTAAAACTTATCCAAGTTTGCTGCTGCCGCTGCCGATGTCTGCTGCTGCTACTGAGGCGGTGGCGGTCTGGATGGGTGAAGCTGGGACGACCAAGCGTAGAATAGTAATTTAATCATGTCTATGTTTTTAAATTAAAGTTGTATTTCAGTTGTTCTTGAAAAATCTATTCCTTCTGAAACAACAACTTCTCGATTGTTCTTCACTCTCGACATCTCTCTTTCAAAAAATCTTGAAGGAACCAAATTCTCCAAACGTCCTCTTCCCTAAAACATCTGCAGAACTCTCAACAAATCCTCCAAATCCAATATGCAGAGCCGATAAAGACAAGCTTTTTAATGTCATTTTCGTCAATCTCTCCTCCTTTTTAGTAGCGGTCATTTGAGCAGCAACAGCCACATGAACTGACCTTCAGTTGTAGCCAACAGAAGGAATTGCTCTCTACACATTCATGTCTGCTTCACCGTCTCCAACTTCGATTCTTTTGTTCGGAACCTCAAGGTTGAGTTTAATCCTCTATTTTCTCTTATTCAGTTCTATTAGAAAATTTATATGATTAATGGTTTCTCTTTTTTTTTGTTTGATTCAAGTATTATAGAAGATGTGTTGCTGTTTTCAATTTCAATTTCTGTTTAAGATTATCCTAAATTAATTGTTGAGCCGATGATCTATCAAAAATAGTCTCTCAGTCTCTCTATCTCTTAGGTAGGGGTAAGATTTGCCTACACTCTACCCTTTCCAAACCACTTTTGGTGTGACTACAATGACTATTGTTCCTGATGATTATGTTAGATGTGATGTCAAAGTGCTGGTACCAACCTTAATCTGATGATTTTTGGTATCTTTATGTCAATTACCTCTTTCCTTTTACCCTTTTAGTAGATGATGTTAATTCTTGTAACGACAATCTGAAAATAAAATTGTGTAAAATGAGTTTCCTTTGAATGAGATATGTGAAGGGCCATCCATATAGGAAGAGGTGCTGATTAATTTGATTGTCGCTTCTTTGAGGTTTATCAAGGGGATTGGAGTTGTTCTTTTCCTATAAATGCATCAAGTTTTTCTTGTTTTATTTGTTGCATGTATTTAAAAGAAGTACATTAGTATAACACCTCGGAAATTGGAAAGTAAAAAAGAAAGGAAAAACTCTTAATTGTTATATGGCTTCTGCCGCTTTCTGGCATATCCACATGCATAGAAAATATCTCTGTTATGTGATGTATATTTTGGTCAGTATCCATATAAGCAAACCATTGCTATTTTTCAGGATAACTTCTATCCTTATCTTTGTATATTTTAGATGCACCAACAGAAGTTGTAATTTTTGAAATCGAAGTGTGGTGGGAGACTTTGAGCTGATGCTATAGTATTTTCTTTTGATTATTGTGGTGTCCCATTCGTCTTGTGCACACCTTGACTAATTTCATGGGGCTCCTGCTATCTTCTACCAGCATCCATGAACGTATTAAGAATGTTAGAAACTCATTCTTTTGTTATTTGTTGGTATTTATCGATTGGTGATATAGATATGCTGCCTCTTCTGCTTTTAGTTTTTAAAAAATAATGATCTAACTTGTGGATGATGGGCTTAGAGCCTGTTTGGATGGGCTTTTAAGCTGGTCAAACTGGCTTAAAAAGCCAGTTTTTGACTTATTAAAGTGTTTGCCAATTATCAAAGTGACTTATTTTAAGTCAGAAATGACTTATTTTAAGCCAAAAGCTAAAAGCTAGGGGAGGGGAGCTTTTTTGTTTTTTAACTTAAAGCCCTTTTATGTTGACCAAGTATATTACGTTTTTGCCCTTAATTCTTTTATACATTTTCCCAAATTGCCCATATTGAATTAACATTATTATTATTATTATTATTATTATTCTTATTATTCTTATTATTATTATTATATTATTATTCTTATTATTATTATTATTCTTATTATTCTTATTATTATTATTATATTATTATTCTTATTATTATTATATTATTATTTATTCTTATTATTATTATATTATTATTATTCTTATTTATTTATTATTCTTATTATTATTATTATATTATTATTCTTATTATTATTATATTTATTTATTTATTACTTTATTATTATTATTCTTATTATTATTATATTATTATTCTTATTATTATTATATTATTATTTATTCTTATTATTATTATATTATTATTCTTATTATTATTATATTTATTTATTTATTACTTTATTATTATTATTCTTATTATTATTATTCTTATTATTATTATTATTATTATATTATTCTTATTATTATTATTCTTATTATTATTATATTATTATTATTCTTATATTATTATTATTCTTCTTCTATTAATCTTCTTCTTATTATTATTCTATTATTATTATATTATT